GGAATCTCATCCAGAAGGTAGACTCCATTCACCTCACGACCACTCCCAATCATCTTCTTTGACTCCAGATCTTGCAAAACACAATTACCAGGAAGAAAGGTTACAGAACAATTCAAATTTTTTGTCAAAGAACTAACAGACAGTAGGTTGGTATGAAGTCTAGGGACATGTAAAACAGAGGACAGAGTTATATCATTGGTCACTCTAACTGTCCCCTTCCCAGCAATGGTCATATGTGAACCATCTGCTGTAGAGGACAAAGTTATATCATAGGAACTGAAAATGGTAAGGGCATTAGTCATATGCTCAGATGCTCCTGAGTCTATAATCCAGGGAGGTCTCTCCTTACCTGAAGTGGATGCAAGATTCGCAGTTGCATATGAACTACCTGTATGTGTAAAGGAAGTGGTGTAGTTGGCTCCTGCATTTTGCTGTCCATCTGGAAGGCTAGAGCTAGGTGAATCTTTCTTACTCATAAGCTGTCTAAACCTCTCCAATTTTGTTCTCACCGCTGCTACTGCAATGGATTCCCAATCAGTTTGGGAGAGAGGGGTTGAAGAGTCTCCTGTAGTGGCTACATTTGCATTTCCCTTCTTGTTTCTTATCCGAGCAGGCATAAGATTTGGATGAAGCTTCCAACAAGTGTCCCTGGTATGCTTAGGCTTCTTGCAGTAATCACACACCAAGTCCTTCTTATCTTCCTTTCTAGTCTCACTTCTCCCCCTGTTTCCATTCGGCTTAGGTTTTGTTGTACCAACCATAGCCGACTGGTCAATCCCAGGCTGTCTCAGCATTACATTCCTCCTACTCTCCTCTCCAGAGACAAAAGCATAGGCTTGAGAGAGTGTCACACCCTCCCTAGAAAGAATATGCTGCCTAGCAATGCCAAATTCAGGGTTCACCCTGCCAAGAACTCAAAAACCCTATTCCTCTCTACCAGTTTGTGATAAGTTGCTACAACATTTACATTTTCCCATACCACAGTTTCTAAATGATCTATTTCTTGCCATAGGGTTTTCAGCATGGAGAAATACACAGCAAGAGGTTGTTCTCCTTGTTTCATACTTATTTCCTGATTTCTTAACTGATAGGCTCTGGCTTCATTTTGCTTCTGAGAGTAGGTTTCAGTCACTCCATCCCAAATCTCCTTAGTAGTATTAGCCCATAGGAAATTTTTTGCAATATGAGGTAACATAGAATTACACAGCCAAGACATTACCATGTAATTCTCTTGCACCCATCGGGAAGAGTCTGTATCAGGTTTCTTCTC